TCACCTGAAAGGTCTCTGCTTCATGTGTCTTCAGCAGAAGATCTAGACTTTGATTGCTATATTTTCAGTTAATATTGACCTTACTGAGCTTTAGCCATATCCGCTGCCTATCATAACAAATGTTAAGTACAGTGAACCTTTCTAAAATATACAGTAGTAAAGAGACAAACCCACCAGCATTATAGTAGCCAAATTCTTGTTTGTGGGCTGTATATATAAAATTGACTTGAAAAAAAGTTGCTGATTTTAGAGTACTGGCACCTTTTTCATTCCAATTCAAGCACTGGTCATTTGACATTACTCTCTCGTTGAGTTACTATAGCTGGCCCTCTGTGAATGTAGAGAGGGACCAACAAGCTCTCCCGTCTTCACATAACTCGCACAGACGGCATTTAACCCTTCACATTCTAACAGAAACTGAACAGGCAGATTCGAAGGATTTATTTCTTTGGAAATATTATTTTAAATACAATTAAATCAAGTTATTTTGGTAAAACTAATGAAAAATCTAACAACAAAAAAATATTTTAAAAAAAATGTTTTTTTTTTAATGTTTTCAAATATTATTTTTTTGAATATCTTAGGCCCTCACAGAGGGCCCTGACGGCTCACCACTGCACGAATGCCCAAAAGGCACAATATTTAACCATCATTGCGTGGAAATTCTTCAAAACAAGCCTAAAAAGAAAGAAAATATGAATCAATATCATGACCGTCTTTAAAGCAGAGCCATATTTTTGTCAAATTCATTCATTTCAACACCGCTTTCTTAATGTGGTTCCTGAAAGTTTGAAAAAATTAGATCATGGTAACATCATGGTAAACTGCTTGCTCTAGTTTTTTTCTATACCCAACTTTTCCCCTTCGCTTTCTATTGAGTGTAATTTCCCTGTTTTTACTTGATAAGTGAAAAATAATTATGTTTTTTTTTTTTAATGGACCTTGAGTCTCTTCAATAAAGCTGATGATTATGTGGGATATTCAGAATGGGTTGATTCCTCATGATTTTGAAGCGATCATATAAAAACACTGTACAGTTTGACCTTGTGAGCAGCGGCCAGCTTCCTCCTGGTGGTGTCTCTTAAGATAAATTGCTCAATGGACGACGGCCAAATCAAGATTCACAGACTGCAACCAGCCAGATGCACTTCACTGTAAACAATGCTACACTGGCCAGGGAACAGGGACAGGGGGACATTTTCTTTTGGCTGCAGATATTTCAGAAGCTAAGGACTGTTTTCTCAAAGACTCCATTTTAAATTATGGTGGAAAACTGGTGGGTGCAGGGGCAACACCGACAATAAAGAAATCACACACCACTCTAATTGTCCACTAAATAATTACATGTTTCAGCTTTGTTCAGCATCGAAAGGCTTGTTGTTGTCAGGGAGCCCAGTAGAGAGTTGTTAAAAGAGCTATTTATAAAAGCTACTTTTATTGTTTCACTGGTAAACGAAGTAGGCCTACTCAGATCCTTGATTAAGTATTAAATGTGAAATATACTCCATTACAAGAAAAAGTCCAATGCGTAAAACATGTATCATCAACTAAATTGAAAGTATCAAATGTATATCTTGCTATTCTTCTCCTGCGTGCAGCTTCCTGGAGATTTAATGTGCATTTTTCTTTGTGTGTACGGATTAGGTAAACAAGACGAAACATGTTGCTCATTGAACTTTGGCGCTGTTGGAAGGATTGGTTTTTCTTTTACATTGAACAAAGTCAGACTGGGTGTTTCCCCCCATTGGCTTAATGCTAAGCTAAGCTAACCATCGCCTGACTGGGTGTTTCTCAATGTCGAGGACGCTTCCTTGGTAGGACATGTCTTTCGAGTCAGGTCCTTCAGAAGCGAGGCAAGAATCCTTCCTAGCCTCGGAAAACGAAGAATGGAACAGGCTAACAGGTGTGCAGGTGTGCGTCATATGAGAGGCCCCGCCTTACATTTTCCGCCAAAGATTTGGAAATTGGTCCGTGCGCAAAGCATTGTGGAGATTTTAAGACCGCGGAGGATACACATGTGCAGCCTCGAAATTTCCCGCAACGAAGGATGCCGGCCTCGGTAGAATTCCAAGGATCCTGGACATTGGAACAGTCCTTTGGCGGGACTCGATGACGTAGCATCCTTGAAATAGTAGCTCTGGAGGAGCCTTCCTCGACATTGAGAAACACCCCCCATCTCCTACTACATCTTAAAAATCAGTTGTGCTTTCCTTCATAAATGGCAATGAAAACAAATATAAAACATTGTTATTCTGACACCAAATGGATTGTTGAAATAGTGTTGGTCCAAAAAAGAAGAATAATTAAATAACTCAATCTTTCATTTAGTCCATATCCACACAATGTGGGATAATATGGGAAAATACTCTTGGATTTTTCTGTTTCCTAAGGGGTGAAATTTGGCTAAATATTTAGTTTGGGATCTGTACAGTGTGTGGTTAAACTGAAGAGGTTTAGAAAGTAAGTTTGTTGTGTGTTCAGCTAATAGACTCACCTGGTTTCTCTAGAGAGAGTTGAAGAATAGAGAGGCGAAGTCCCGCCCATCTACTTCCGACCCATGGGACCTTATTTCGGAAAAATTATGTATTGAAGTCAATGGGGAGAGAAAGATTATCTCTCGATCCCGTTTGAATTGTGCCACGAATTACACATATGATGTTTGTCAATCTTAAAAAATAATTTCCATGTCAAAAAAGTCACAGTTTGTCGTAAAACTGTTGAAATATAAGACTATGAATAATACGCAACTAGAAAGACTACAAATCCCAGAGTCCCGGTCCCGCATGCTGGCTCTTACGAACCGACTAACTCCCCTTGTGTGTATGTACAGCTCTCAACGTGCCCAGACTTAAAGTGATTTTCACCTCTTTTAATACTTTCCGCCTCATTCTGAGAGAAAGAAGTGAAATGTTCAACGTGACGGCCATCTTGGTGTGTGGTGCGAGATGGGAGATGTAGTTCATTCAGCGGTTTCACACAAAACAAATGTTACTTCACAGTTTCACGACACATTTTAATTTTTTTGACTTGCAAAATTATCTTTTGATGTTAACAAACATCATATGTGTAATTCGTGGCACAATTCAAACGGGATCGAAAAATAATCTTTCTCTATTGACTTCAATGCATAATTTTTCCGAAATAAGGTCCCATCGAGGTCCCCCGGAAAGGGAGGGACTTCGCCTCTCTAGTTTTTCTAGCATAACGTTGCCGGATAGTTCCAGTTTGTTAGAGGCATTATTGAGCTCTTGACACTAACCTGTTCTTATCTATTCTATGTTTATTGAAATGTTGCTTAGCTTTGTCTCCTTATGTTAAGGGGAATGCGACTTAAAAACTACGGCTGCTCGACTAATTGCGATTATTTTGACTAATATGACCAAATGCAACTCCAATATGATTGACGATTGCAGGGAATGATCATTATTCACCATAACTCACCATACATTATCATGGTGTGATTTTTAAGAGGATCTGTAGAATACCGTTTAAGGTCCGGACTTCTCTTGTGCACTAATACTTGATTTAATTTAGCCTTTTCAAAATATTGCACATACTCGGATTTGGATATTGCATTAGTCCATACGACCATTTGTATTGTGCTGCCCTACTAAAAGCATGAAAGACTATTCAAACATAAAGCAGAGTATAGTCGCAACCATACGAATGTGCCTTTGTGGACACATTCAACAGAAACCTTTTAGTGTAACACACATTCTTCAACACAGAAAACAAAAAATCTGTCGTTTTTCCACCATTTGTCTCCAACATTGAATAGTCATGCGCGTGTTAGTGCAGAATATGGAGGGGGAGGGTAAAGTGTGAAAGATGTTGAATGCTCAATGACCTTATATCCACCAGCCAATCACATTGTAACATTATGAATGTGTGGTGAATCAACACTGATTATATTGCTGCTACAACAGGTCTGCTTTCTATCTTGGAAACACCTGACGGCTCTACTGATCCATCCTGCCTCCAACATATGCTCCCCATCTCCTGACCTTAGGAGATGGACATATGAGCCTTTTGAATCTGCTGCGTGCAACGTCAGCCGGTGAAAATCATTGTTTGTTCCTACATGCGAGCAGCAGCCCCCCTTGCCACTCAGTGCCCTAGATGAGTCCTTCCACCCTTTTCTTTCCAGCACAGTTTCTGCACCTATTTTTGATTCAAAACCAGGCCAGGCAGCAGAGCTCAGGGCAGAGCTTATTCCACCGCCTCTGAGAAGTAATTCCCTTTTTTTCAACTCTAGATCGAATTAATTGAAATCATGCATATATGATATATATATATATATATAAATATATATATGCATGATTTCAATTAATTCGATTATAATTCGATTATATATATATAGCAGTCCTTTAAATAATCTGTATGAATTAGGTTACAATGCATCAATGAGATTTAGACACTGACGTTCTCATGATATATTTCCAGATATTCCGCATTTCACTACGCCACATTTAGTCAATGTCTCGGATTTTAAGACGAACGATTGAGGCTAATAACGTAACCGGTTATTTTTAGCCTGCATGAAGATGCGCTCAGCAGTGATGGCGATGACTTCCTCCCCCTCCTACACCATCATGACGTCGGGCTGTTACGCAAAAGCAGGGGTTCACCTTTTTGTGGACCTCCGGTACCGTCACCACTGGCGTACATTAGGGGCATTATAACACAAATAAAGGAGGGAATATACGAGATATATAATACAGGCTAATACCCTGGTCGTGTGTAGATCTGTTCACTTCTGCTTTTTCTTTCATTCCCCATTATGTTTCAGTAAACGCACTTTGTTTAAACTTGGAGTTGTTGGACACACCCAGCATGAAGCAGGTGTCTCTCATCCTGAGGGGCTTATCTGATGTGGACCGGGACACAGCGCCCGGTCCGAAACACGAACATTAAAGCTGCGACAGTCACTTCATTTTATATTTAAACGTTTACAATCGCTAGATAACAACATGCAATTAGAGTAAAAGTGGTTACTCAACTATTTGTAGAGGTGCTGGAGACACAGGTCGAGGCATTCCCCCTCCACTTCGTCCTCAGTCATCAAGTCCGACAAGGGGCGCAGCGGCGGAGGGTCGCTCTCCTGCAGAGGCATCCTCATCTCCCGCAGGAAGAGCTCCAGGAACCGTCGGAAGGTTTTCTCCTCTGCTATAGAGCCGGCCATCATCTCTCATTCCTGGACAGACAGCGACAACTCCTCCCGTCAGTGCACTAACTTCTCCGGGCTGAGAAGAAGAAGGAGAAGAAAAAGAAGAGGAGTCGGTACACTGAGTCGTGCACGCGCAGACTACCTGAATGAGTGTGAACTACCGGGGGCGCGTGGAGTACCGGTGCGCGTGTGAGAGCAGCGGACTTGCCGGGATGAGTGTACTTTCTCCGGGTGTGCTACTGGACTGGACTGGACTGTCAGTATATGGACTGAACTCCCCATTCAGAACCGAGCGGGAACGTTATCAGGGATTTCGGATGATCACACGAATGTGACGTCAGAGAGTCGTGAACGCGCACGCAGCACTGCCTCTGACGTCTGAGAGCTTTTTATAGACATGGGGGTGTGTTTGGTCATATGATGTCAAACTAAGACAGTATTATATTGTCAATCCCTTTTTCATCATCTTAGAAAAAATCTCATGAACAAAAGTAGAAAAGTAGATTTTTATAACAGGAAACCTTAATGTAAGATGTATATCAATAGAATCCCACAATAAATAACAGACTGTAAGGTGGCCTACATTTACTAAAGTAGCCTACTGTAGTACTTTTTTATAATATCAAATATGTACTTGTTTTTAGAAAGTATAAGTGGAATTTTAACAAACATTACATCCTGGGTAATAACGTTAACAACAAACATGTATTCAAATGTTTTACTTTTTTTTTGTATGTCAATACACATTTAGAAAAACAGTCCAACCCTGTCAGTGTTATACATTGAATAGTATTTTTTATTTACAGCCATATTGAGGAAAATGTGGATCCATTATCGAATATCTAATTACGTTTTCCCATTCAAAATTGTTGATTTTATTCAAATAATGACTTCAAATTAAAGATAAATGTAGTTTTGACCAGTCATCATTTCAATATAGATAACTTAAATTCTGCATGTTAGATATTTATATATCTTAATTATAATTTTTTTATATCTGAAACCAATAGTCAGGATTCAGTGAGAAACTGGAGTCAATGTGGTTAGCCTCATGTTGTAATAACCTAATTAGTATGCTTCGTTACAGCTGGTGAGATATACTTGCTTAGCAAGTGATCATGTGACCTGTCTCAAAGGCTTTAAGCTGCAGCATTGAAAGTGTTGAATAAGTGATGAAGAACACGACGGCTTTAAAGGTCTCATCATGTGAATGTATGAGTGGTCGGTGGACCGCTGTGTTTCATTTTCCCCTTTTGTCTGGAAAATATTTGGATGTCTATTTCCTTCATTATACATGTTACTTGTTAGACGCTTTTATCCAAAGCGACTTACTCAATGTGGGCAATCCCCACAGGAGCAATTTGGGGTTAAGTGTCTTGCCCAGTGTCTTGCCCAACGACATGCTGACTGCAGTAGGGTTTGAATCTGTGCCCCCCATTTACACACTTAAAGTCCCTGTCCACTCAAAATGTTTTTGCCAATTAAACCAACACTGTGCAATATGTTTGTATAGTAGGGCTGAAAAAATGTTTTGAGCCTCAAGTACCAGCTTCTTTAATGTGATGACGTTCTGCTGTTTTATTTCAGTGTAACTTGAGATCTATACGGTTGTTTTTTTGGAGAAGAAACAAGACATTTTAATATATAACTTTAGCTATAGCACAACTATTCATTACATTACATTACATTGCATTTAGCTGACGCTTTTATCCAAAGCAACTTACAATAAGTACATTCGACCAGGAAGACACAACCTTGAAGAAAGCAGAATCATATAAGTACATCAGGTTTCATAGAGCCAAACATTTCAAGTGCTACTCAACTGGCTTTAGGTAATCCAGCCCTTTATTAGTATAAAAGTGCTTCGTTAATAGTTCTATCGCTCGAAGTGGAGTCGAAAGAGATGAGTTTTCAGTTTGCGCCGGAAGATGTGCAAGCTATCTGCCGTCCTGATGTCAATGGGGAGCTCATTCCACCATCTTGGAGCCAGGACAGCAAACCCACGTGTTTTTGCTGATGGGAACTTGGGTCCCCCTCGCAGCGAGGGCGCAACGAGTCGTTTGGCTGATGCAGAGCGTAGTGCACGCGCTGGGGTGTACGGTTTAACCATGTCCTGGATGTAGGAAGGGCCAGATCCATTCGCAGCATGGTACGCAAGTACCAGTGTCTTGAAGTGGATTCTAGCAGTGGATTCTAGCATTCATTGGGTTTCATTACCCATTGCCTGTTGTGCATTCTTTGTATTCTATTTAATTAAATGTTTTACTTTCTAATTTGGTTTTATTTTTATTTTTATTTATCAAGCATGTCATTCTTTACCTGTTTTTCTGAATCACAATATATATATGCTTTTCACCAGGGAAAATGTATTTGGTTACAGTCGCTCCATTTCAGAATAAAAAAATAAAAAAAGTTCAAGTAAAACATGTGCACATTGAACTACAATATATAACAAGAATACATATGTAAAAATATGCATATGACGAAATATACATGGACTGGTCTAGTTATATACATAATCATAATAATGCTGAACAACTGATTATTGTTTAAAATGTAGTGTAATACAATGTTGTGTTGATATGGACTTATCTTAAATCACTAGGGCTTAGAAACATAACGTTAATTGTTATTAAAAAAGGAACCTAAAATAGTGTCTGCTCAGACATTTTAGTTAAGGGAACCGGAAATAAGTGCGTCTTTGTTTTTCTTCCCCCGCTTTCCACCATGAAGGGAACAAACATGGCTCTCCCTCTGAGTATGGAGGCTCTGCTTCAGGCGGACCTCCAGGAGGACGTCGCTTACCGGGACGAAGGCTTGTGTGTTGTCGGTATTTTCGGTAAAAGCAACATGCAACCGGGCGCGCCTAAAGAATCTATCGTCAACAGTCTCGCGGACAAACACATCTTCTCGCTGTTCGGAGGACCGGAAGATGGCGGTACGGCGGACAGCAGCATCGAGGCTTTCTACCACCAGGAGAACCGGGTTTTGTACCTGTTTCTGTCCTCCGTGTCCGACAGCCGGCAGCTATTGCGGGCCTGCGAGTCTCTGAGCGCCAATACCGGACACTCCGACTCCCACGAGCTGTGGAAAGACCTGGACCGACAGCACTGCCTGCATTTACTCTACATCTTCTCCGTGTGTCACGTGCTCCTGCTGGTGCACCCGAACCAGACTTTTGATGTGACTTATGACCGTCTCTTCCGGGCCCTGGATGCTCTGAGACAGAAGGTGCTGCCTCTGATCCGGGCTGCCATCAAGGACTGCCCGGTGTCCAAAGAGTGGAAGCTGAACTGTCGGCCATGCCCTCCTCGCCTGCTCTTCGTCTTCCAGATGAACGGCTCCATGAAGGTCTGCTTCAAGTTTTAATTTACAAACAGGTGGTAGAGAAACCATTGCCACTTACCCAGGGGTCGTTGTACAATCTTAAAACAGAGTTGCTGTGTTCCAGAGGTGCTCAGATGTTGTTGTTTAGTAAAACAAGTATTCATATCACAGTCTTGTTCAAGAGAGTCCCAAAACAACACTCACGCTAGGGCTGCTCAATTAATCGCAATTACGATTATGGCTTGCAGCGATTACGAAAACAACGTAATCGAAATACAACGATTATTTTTTAATTATTATTATTACTTTTTTAATTCTTTATAACAATTGTTTTATTGATTTTTCAGTAATCAACTGTTAAAAACACACTGTTCACGTTTTTTTTCTCCAATAAGTTGATGTTATCAAAGTAATTGGATAATCGTTTTTAATAATCGTGATATCAATTATTGACCCACATAATCGAGATTATGATTTTTGCCATAATCGAGCAGCCCATTGAAAACAGAACAGTAAAAGACAATCATTTATACAAAAAACAATCAAAAAGACTAAATAACACGACGCACAAATAACATTCACCATATTTAGAGATAAGGAAACAAAACAAATGTAAATGTTGACAAAGACAAGTCACTTATTCAAACCAGCCCTGGCCTTGGTTAAAGATATAATAATGATAATAATACAAGTCACTTATATAGCGCTTTTCCGCGTGCTCAAAGCGCTTTACAAGCAAGTTAAGAAGAAAAATAACAACAAAAGTAAAAAGTGCTAAGCTAGGTGGAATAAGGGCGAGGGGTTAGCGGATTAGGAGTTGAAGGCAAGAGTGAAAAGGTGAGTTTTGAGGGATTTATTTCTTTTGAATGACGTGGGAGTGTTGGCAGATTGGACGTGGCTGTGGAGGGAGTTCCAGAGTTATCATATAAACTCCATTGCATGTAACATTTATTTGACATCTCTTTTGTCTGTTGTTTCAAAGGTCTCTACAAACGGCTCAGAGTCTGGAGGAAACCCCGACAAACCCAAGAAGCACTCCCCCAGGAGGAGGCTGCAGCACGCGCTCGAGGACCAGATCTACCGTATCTTCCGTAAGAGCAGAGTCTTGACCAATCAGAGCAGCAACTGCCTGTTCACCGTTCCCGCCAACCAGGCCTTCGTGTACGTGATCCCGACCGTTGACGAGGACCCTGTGGGCGCGTTGCTCAGCCAGCTGCGCTCCACCTGCACCGTGAGTGAAACCGAGCCAGCCGTGGTGGTGACGGGCCCGCGGAGATATCAGCAGATGAGACGCTCAGCGCGACAGTCGAGTTACAGCGGAGATCCAGCGACTCTGTTGATGGGCGGCCAGCTGACAGACTGCAGCCTGAAGGAGTTCCTCTGGCAGCACGTGGAGCTGGTGCTCACCAAGAAAGGCTTCGACGACAGCGTTGGTCGCAACCCTCAGCCTTCACACTTTGAGCTGCCGACCTACTCCAAGTGGGCCCAGATCGCCTCTAAGCTCCACCAGGTCCTCATCAGCAACACAGAGGAGGAAATAGCAGAGCTTTGGTCAAAGGTTCAGGGCCAGCTGAAGGTTTTAGAGGGTTTTCTCGACGCTGATACAAAGTTTTCTGAGAACAGGTGTCAGAAAGCCCTGCCTCTGGCTCACAGTGCCTACCAGTCCAACCTCCCCCATAACTACACAACGACCGTGCACAAGAACCAGCTGGCCCAGGCTCTGCGGGTGTACAGCCAGCATGCACGAGGCGTGGCTTTCCAGCGCTACGCTCTGCAGCTTCATGAGGACTGCTACAAGTTCTGGAGCAACGGCCACCAGCTGTGCGAGGAGCGCAGCCTGACGGACCAGCACTGTGTGCACAAGTTCCACCTGCTGCCTCAGACAGGTGAGCAGCAACTCGGCTTCATATTCCTCTGCTGCAGATTCAAGATTCAAGGCTTTTATTGTCATTTGTTATGTTAGAAAA